ATCCTTTCTTCTGATCTTTGCCATTATCACCTTCTTCATTCTCTCGCAGTAACCTCTCATATCAAGTCACAGTGTAAAATGCTCGCACAGTGATTTCAGGTAATTGTGGATTATTCGAACTTTCAGCGCCAAGGAATTGTCAATTATTCACTGCGGGTATTCCGCACACAGCTCAAGTGCTAAGGTAAATTGCAGTTAAAATCACTGCCCTTCGAGTCGTTGAACCGCGTGTGGCGTGCTATATCGTTGCGACTTGTTCTCCTCACAATGTGTAACAACTTTTACCGTTGTATATCTCTCGTTTCATTTTTCGGTAAATAACCTTAAAAAGTCGCTTCTGCTTCTGTTCGTTTAATCAGAGATGATGTGAAAAAAAGAATTAAAAATATGTTCTGCAATTCTCTAACCATTTTGAATATTTTTTAACGTAGAAAAAAAGGGTTGTCACAAGTCAGGGAAAAGTCAGGGATTTTTATTAAAGGTACTGGAAAAAATTAAATTTTTAAAATTTATAAAAGAGTTCTGAATTTTTTAACGTCTTTAGAAATTATTTAATGAATAATTTTACTTAATAATTGCAAAATAAATTGGATTTCAAAAAAATTACGTTTACAATCTTCGTAAATAGATAAACTTCAAAGGTTTCAGTTTAAAAATTTTAGAAAATATCAATTTTTAATGAATTAAAATAGAAATTTTAAGAACAACAGATTACAGAAATTAAATTATTTTCAAAGGGATAAACTTCTTTGCATAAATTCAATTATATCAAAAATTAAAAAAAAAATTCTCTTCAAAATATCAATTATTAAATATCAATTTTATATAATAAATAATAAAATTCTTCTCCAAAATCCAATTATTTACAAAAAATTTAATAAAATTGTTATCAAAATTTCAATTACTTTCAAAAATGTTCCTCAATTTATAATAATTTCCATCATTTACTATTTTAATAAAGTTTTCCAAAAGAATTCAATTATTTAAACAAAATTTTAATAAAAATTTCCCAAGAATTCAATTACTAATTTTTTATAAATTTCTTACAAACAATTCAATTATTCTTAATTTTTTTAATGAAGTTTCTCGAAAGAATTCAAATATATTCAGAGAATTGAAAAAAATAGTTCTGAGAAATTCAATTATTTCGAAAAATTTAAATAAAATGCTTGTAAAAATTCTATTATTTAATGTTGAAAAAAATTCTTTACAAGGTTTAGTTAATAAAATTGCAATTTTAATAAAATTTTTATATACAATTCAATTATTTTTAATACAATTCTTTTTGAGAATTCAATTATTTTCACAAATACTACATTAATTTATGGGAATTCAATTATTTAAAAAAATTTGAATAAGATTCTTCACAAGAAATCAATTATTTTTATAAATAATAAAATTTTTCTCAAGAATTCGATTATTTAAAAAAAATTTTATAAAATGCTTTATAAATTTTGAAAAATTATAATAAAATTCACCATTAAATTCAATTATTTTCGTAAAAAATAAAATTCTTTGAAGCAATTCCATTATTTAAGAAATTTTAATAAAATTCTCCGCCAGATTTCCATTATTTTCAATATTTTTTAATGAAATTTCTCGATGGAATCCAATTATTTTTAAAAAGTTTTAAAAAATTCGGAGAATTCATAATTTAATTATTTAAAAAAATTTTAATAAAATTCGTCACAAGAAATTAATTATTTTCATAAAGAATAATATTTTTCTCCGAAATTTAATTATTTTTATAAATAAAATTCTTCACAGGAATTCTATTCTTTAGAAACTTTTTTAATAAAATTAGTAGAATTACAATTATTTTTAATACAATTTTAAATAAAATGTTAAAAAATTGCATTTATTCTTAAAATTTTTTTTAAATTTCGCCGAAAGAATTCAAATAACTATTTTTAAAAATATTGATAAAATTCTTCATAAGAATCCAATTTTAAAAAATATTCAATTATTTAATAAATTATTTATTTCTGTATTTACATAATTGAATTCTCGAAAAATATTCAAATAAAAATTGATTAAAAAATGAATTTCAGTTAGAATTTTAAATTATAATTGAATATTGAAAGCATAATAGCTTAAATTTTCAGAAATTATTGAATTTTGAAAAGGGTTAAAATTCAAATCTTTGAAAATTTGAATTTATAGTTACAATATTCTTATGTTTATTTTAGTAAAAAATAAAATTCTTCGAAGTAATTCAATTATGTAAGAAATTTTAATAAAATTCTCTCCAAGAATTAAATTCTTTTCAAAAATAAAACTTTCCACAGGAATTGAATTATTTAAAAAAGTTTTTTTTTTAAATTTTTCGTCAGATTTCAATTATTTTCAATTTTTTAAAGAAATTTTATTATTTTCGAAAAGTTTTAAAAAAAATCTGAGAAATTCAATTATTTAAAAAATTTTAAATAAACTTCTTCACAAGAATTGAATTATTTTCATATTTTTCTCCGGAATTTAATTATTTTCACAAATAAAATTCTTCACATAGGAATTCAATTCTTTAAAAAAATTTTAATAAAATTCGTTGCAAGAATTAAATTCATTTTTATAAATAAGAAAACTTATCGCCGAATTTCAATTATTTTTTATACAATTTTAAATAAAGTGATAAAAAATTGTATTTATTCTTAAAATTATTTTAAAATTCGCCGAATGAATTCAATTATTTAAAACAGTTTTTATAAGTTTCTTTATAATCATTCAATTTTAAGAAATATTTAATTATTTCTGTATTTACGTAATTGAATTCTCGAAAATTTTCTAATAAAAATTTATTAAAAAATGAATTATTTCAGTTGGAATTTTAAATTATAATTGAATAATAAAAGCATAAAAGCTCGAATTTTTAGAAATAATTGAATTTTGAAAAGGGTTCAAATTAAAATCTTTGACAATTTAAATTTATAGTTACAATATTCTTATGATATAAAATAATATGATTTTATCACTCGGTCATTTTATAATAATATTCTCATAAGTTATTGAATTTCAGAAGGTTTGAAGTTGAAAATCTTAATTTCTATAGAAAAATAATAATGACAAGTATTTATTTAAAAAAGAAGTTATTGATGTTTTCGATTAATTTTACTTTTGAAGATAATTTGTAAATAAATGTAATCGAATTTTTTTTTTTAGTATCTAATAATTTTTGGAGTGAATCAGTATATTTTTCAGTTCAGGGAAAAAGTGAAAATTTTGTTTGGAAATCAGAGAAGAGTCAGAGAAAAACAAAATTAAATTTTTGTAGCAACCCTGAAATAGCAAATAGTAGGTTTCAGTAGATGAGTGATATATATTTTCGCAATGGAATCTATGTCTCAAGTGTTTTAGATGATTAATCCCAATCAAGTTCAATTACGCATATATGTAGCTATCCAAGTGCTAATTGAATAAAATGTGAGTAAATCATATGTGTATTTATTATCCGTACGCATGGATATATCAATTTAATTTAGCATATGTAGTCCATTGATCTGATGTATGCTCGTACAGTTATAAGGGTCACTTTTACATAAAGTACCTTTTCTATTAAAGCCAGACATAAGCTTTTTCTCGAATGTATTTTTTATATTATTATAAAAAGAGTGAAAACGTACAAGACATGGAGAAATAAATTCTTCTCACATATTAAATGATGATTAATCTGTGAGATTCCTGGTTTTGTTTGATCGAGATTCTTGTTGCGTATGAGGAAACGGAGTGAACTTAGTGTGGCCTTAGAGGTCACTCACTCACTCACTCACTCACTGACTTGTACCAGTACCAGATAAGTCGGTTGGATGAGGTTCAGGTTTTCTTCTTCTCTCATCGCAATCTTGCGGGTCGCTACACCCTGAGATGGTCGCAGACCAGATGAACCGCAGAACTTCCTACGTGGAATCGAAAAGCCCACAAGAACCTGCAATGCCTAATACAGAGAACCGTAAGTCTGCATGACATGTTCTGCCATCGAGTTGGGCATTTGCCAGTTCATACATTGTTGGCACTGGTTAAACTGGAACTACCACTGGCACCACATCGGAAAGCAACAGCCTTAGATGATTGGTACCACTTTGAAAAATGAAAAGTTCCCCTTTTGCGCATTTCATCAAAGGACAAATGTGCCTTTACGCTTAATGGGCTCTCTTTTGTGCGATACACGCGAGCATATATGGGAATAAAAGCAGGGTGAATCCCTTCGGTGAATCCCGAGAAAAAGGGATGCCAAATGTAAATACATGTTTAATGAAAATATTCGCAAACTTAATTAAAATTGTCCTTCGCATATTATTTCTTCTTAATTACAAACCTTGTACTTATCTACAAGAACCTAATATTTACTACTTTTTTTACGATTAGCTACCATTTGGATACTTTTTTCTAAATTTATGATACTAAAAGCTGCTATTTAATGATTTAAAAAAGTTACTGATGTTTCGAACTATTTTTCAATTGAAGGCAATAAATGTATTAGGGTATTTTTAATTTTCATTCAATATTTTAATCTTGGGTATATTTTTAGAGAGAATCAGAATATTCTTTAGTGTCTAAATATCTAAATATCTATTTTTATCGAAAATTCTACGTATCTAGAAATCAGGGAACAAGAAAATCGAATTTTTATGACAACGCTGATTATGCTTCAGAAGCTTTAGAAGTAGTGATAATGGTGAGTGAAAATAGGCTCATTTTTTGCGTGTTTTATGTTAAGAACCATATTTTTTAAAATTATTAAAATAACAAGAGGCGTGGCCCTTATAGGTCTTTCAGAAATAGGCCACTCTTGGGTGTGGTAAATTGATTAGATTTAGATCATTTCATGATGGGCGTGACTTGATAAAAGGCATTTCATTATAATAGTTACATTTTTAAATTATATTTTTAGTCTTGCAACTTGAAAGACGTTGAGTGATATACAAGACTATATTATCTGATAAGATATTACAGTTTTCATGTTTTTTTCCAAAAACTATGAATGCATCAATTTTCATTTGTTACAGGAAATAGTGTTACAAATACAAGTCATGGTTTGGTACAAGTTGATAACAAATCCGGCCAATGGTTCGGAGCTACAGTTTCATCTTCCAAGGTGGACGGAGGACCCCTACTTGTGAGTACTTTCTCATTACGTATACGTATTTTATATTTTTTTAAATTATGTACCGGTAATTTACGTAATTTCATTATTTTTAATGACTCACAAATATTTTACCCAAACATTTTTTTTAAAGTCAATCAGAAATCTAAATATTCGGAAATATCTTTTGTTTGTCGTTTTTTTTTGAAAAATATGGAAATGTCAGGGAATTTTATAAAACTTGAAAAAACCTGGAAAAATTAGGGAATTTGAAAAGGGCAAAAGTGCAGCAACCCTGGATATAAAATAGAAAAAGAAAAGATACAAAATGAAAAAGATAGAAAATAGAAAAGATAGAGAATAAGAAAGATAAAATAAAAGTTCGCAATTAAGTAAATTAGAAGAAGATAATTTATTTAAAATTGAAAAATTCTTCTAACTTGCGTAGACATTTTTCCTTGCTCTAAGAAGTAAACTTGCTTTTCGAATCTACCGAGTAGTAACGTGTGTCTCGAACGAACGCGACTGCTTCTATTTCTGGACTATTTCAAAACAAGCAAAATTTAACACTACTCTGAAGTTGAAATCAACAGGGGAATGAATGATATTTTCCTGATCTTGAAGATAATCAACATTTGTTTGTTATTACAAGATTGTCACAAACATTACTTTGTTATAAACTTTAATTATTCGAAGATTAATGCATATTTTATTTTTATATCCATGAATACAAGGGGAGAAATTAGTTTATAAATTTTGCAGAAATATTTGCGCAATATGCTGTTCTCTAAAATTTAGTGAACATTGAGGTACTTATACGCCAGTAGTAAGAATATTTGGGTGATTAAAATTAAAATGACTTAGACTTATCGATGCTTTTTTTGCTTGGCTAGAATTAAGTAAATTAGAATAATATATTATGCATGAAATTAATTGTCCTCGAGCATAGATGAAAGCGAATTTTAATTTTCACCAGGTGCGAAACAATAGGCATTTGTACTTTTTTTACTTTCGATAAAAAATTCTTTTACTTTAGTAAAAGAAGTGACTAAAAATAATAAAAACTCTTCCTCCTGTGAAGTTAGTGCGGCTCAATTTTTACCAATTCTAAACTTTTTTTTAAAAAGTTCAGAGACTATGCCAAAAATTTGTAAAGCATATTCAAAAAGTAATAAACTCGAATAAAGGCATAGTTTGGAATTTAAATAAATTTTCATTTTTGATAAGATAACGTGAAACTGTGAATTTAAAACTTTTTTCGAAAAATGCAAAACTTGAGATGATATAATAAGACTCTATTTACATTTTCCCAACGATAATGCGTTCCCAATGACAAAGAATCCGACAAATCAAGCGAGGAAAATGAATTCAATGCGTGGCGAGGCATAAAATAATCGTAAGGACAATGAGAACATTGAATATAAAGATATAATCTTTATTACTCGTGAATATTTGTGCACATGCCAGTGCAGATGTGCATATAATATTCAAATTCAACCCTTATTCCGATCTATACTATTAAACTTGATACCAACTGAACCACTCAGGGGAAACTTTAATTTCAAACGTATATAATGTATACTGGTTTTTTCTTTTTTTCTACCTTTTTATACAAAGAAATACTTTTCTAGTTTATAAAAAGTTTATTTTATATTTTTTTCATCATGAATGGATTTATAAAAACTGTCTACTATCTTCAGATCGTAAGATCTATTATTAGTATTGTCTATTATTAATTATTATTATCGATTATTATTAGTATCTTTTATTATTATTATTATTATTATTATTATTATTATTATTATTATTATTATTATTATTATTATTATTATTATTATTATTATTATTATTATGTTATAAATAATTATACATAAGTATTTACTATAATGTTATTTTATTGTTAAATAATTTTTATTTAAATCAAATAAATTCAGCAGAAAAAACTTCAAAAAAGATTTTAAAAAAAAGTAAATAAATTTATACATTTATAATGGGTTATAAAATTTAGCAACTAAATTGTAAGGAAGTGAGAGAAAAATCGTCATAACGGAAGTTATATGACAGATTTTGAATAAATAATGAAAAATAAAAGTTGGTGATTTCTTAAATGGCGAAGATAGAGTGAATTGTTTGCGCTTCGCTCATAAAGACGAGGAATTATTCGCCTCACGTGTTGATTCGCAGTGTACGAGCAAACTGGCGTATATGATGAATGCATTTATACCTTTAGAATTGTAATACGTGCTATACAATTTGAAAATCCCGAATTGTACTGTGTATTGAATAGAGATGTTGCTTAAATAGATTTTGAAATACACACCCAATAACTATAAATTGGACAGATTTTTCGAATGTTCGTTTTTGAAAAAAATGATTCGAATTCTGATTTTTAGACGTTAAAAATTGCAAAATTAATTGGATTTCAAATTCTTGTCAAAATTTCAATTTTCTTTATAAATGATAAAATTCTTCTGCAAAATTAAATTATCTCCAAAAACTTTTAAAAAATACATGTCAAAAATTCAATTATTTTCAAAAATTTTCCTCAATTTATAATAATTTTCATCATATACTATTTTAATAAAGTTTTCCAACAGAATTCAATTATTTTAAACAAAATTTTAATAAATAATTCCCAGGAATTCAATATTACTTACCAATTTTTTAAACATTTCTTCAAACCAATTCAATTATTTTGAATTTTTTAATGAATTTTCTCGAAAGAATTCAAATATATTCAGAGAATTGCAAAAAATAGTTCTGAGAAATTCAATTATTTCTAAAAATGTAAATAAAATTCTTGTAAAAATTCTATTATTTAATGTTGACAAATTTTTAAAATTCAACATTTTTTCTTCTCTTTAATGGCATTTAGCTTCATTATTTTTAGGCTCTTAAAAAATACTTTACTTATTTAATAATCTCCACCCTTTGGTAAAAAATCGAAAATTATCAAAAATTCGAAAAAATTCAAAAATCCGAATTTCTTAAAATTTAACATTTTTTCTTCTCTTTAATGGCATTTAGCTTCATTATTTTTGTGCTTTTGGAAAATACTTTACTTATTAAATTGTCTCGACTCTTTGGTAAAAAATCTAAAATTATCAAAAATTCGAAAAAATTTCAAAAACCGATTTTCTTAAAATTCAACATTTTTTCTTCTGTTTTATGGCATTTAGGTTCATTACTTTTGTGCTCTTGAAAAATACTTTACTTATTTAATATTCTCCACTTTTTGGTAAAAAATTTTAAATTATCAAAAATTCAAAAATACGAATTTCTTAAAATTCAACATTTTTTCTTCTATTTTATGGCAGTTAGCTTAATTATTTTTGGGCTCTTGAAAAATACTTTACTTATTTAATAGTCTCCACTCTTTGGCAAAGAATCTAAGATTATCAAAAATTTGAAAAAATTCAAAAAACCGAATTTCTTAAAATTCAACATTTTTTCTTCTTTTAGATGGCATTTAGCTTCATTATTTTTGTGCTCTTAAAAACACTTTACTTATTTAATAGTCTCCACTCTTTGGTAATAATTAAATATTTATTTAAAAAAGAAGTTATTGCTGTTTTCGAATAATTTTAATTTTAGAGAAATTTGCAAATAAAAGTATTAGAATATTTTTTCGAGAATCTAATAATTTTTAGAGTGAATCAGAATATTCTTTAGGGTCATGGAAAAAGTCAAAATCAGTCAGGAAAATGTCTGGAAATCAGACAAAAGTCAAGGAAAAACATAATTAAATTTCTGTGGCAACCATGATTCAAAAATTCTTTGAAAAATTATTTCAAGAATTTTGAATCATTAATCAGTGATTCAAAAATTTTGGAAATAATTGTAAAAAAATGTTTGAAAGCATTATTCGAGAGCGTAATTGCAGCATTTAAGTACATACGAAATGGTATATTGATAACGCAAAGAAGCAGGAAATTAAACAAGAAAAAGCGTGTAGAGAGATATAATTTAGTTTCTGTGTCGTGTTTTGTGGAATGAACGATTGTTTTTTGCACTTTAGTTGAGAGGCTGCTTGTGGCGTTCCCGATGAAGCCAATCGTAAAGGCAAAAGGGAAGTTTTGTAAAAGGCTCTCAGAGGTCATTGAGGTCGTGATTGTCCTTTGCTTGGGCATGGCCCCGTCGTGGCCCCATCGTGGCCTTTCTTTCCATTTTAATCGATGCGTCTTTGCCGACGACAACTACCGCGAAGAAGCCGCCACTAGATCGTGAAGAGTAGCCCATATTTTACGGGCGATTGTTCTTTCGTATTCTCCGCGCACTGCCGCCAGATATCCACGATGTTTTTGCCACTGGACTCCTATACATCTCTTTCCCTTTACACATCCACCCTTTCCTCAATCAGAATAAATGATTTCCATTATTCTAAGAATTTCACATTCATCTCTTTGCTTTCTTTTTTTTAATTTCTGATCCCATCGATTTATATCTATCTCGTCTTCTATTTCTATACGTCTTCTATTCTATACAGTTGTTAAATATTGTATAAATATTTCCTAATACCATTTTTTTTTTTAAGAAAGCCTTTTCTATCACTGAAAAAACAATTTATTTGATTCAAATAACCGATTAATTGACTATTATCAATTCAATGTCTGCTGGTTTTTTGAATCTAAATTAAAACATTTTGAGATTGAATATGGAGACTAGACGCTACTCTCCACCTGCGAACGCCAAGGTCACCGCTAGATGACAGTTGAGTTTTCTTGGAATTTCTCTCGCCACCTGGTGGTGACCTTGGCGTTCTCAAGTGGAGAAATTAAACCACCATTTTCTCCCTAAAAAATTTTTTAATAATTAGAAAATAATTTTAATATTTCTGTTTTTTAATAACTTTTTACTCGCTTATAATTTTTTAATGGCGGAAAGATTTCTGGAAATCAAGACAAGATTTGGAGAATGGTGCAATTTTCACTTCCGACAGGTATGCACACTTCTCGATCCAATCTTTCTCTTGGAGTATTTTGTTTTTTTGTTTTTGATTCTTTTAGCGACATTTTGTTTTTTTCCCCTTATTA